AATTCTTTAACATACCTCACTCTTGTAAACATATGCTAAGATACCAGCTACCAGTTCAAGAACGAAGATGATAAATAACAGAACAGCAAACTACAGAATGAAAGAAACAAAAAACAAAAAAATCAAAAATAATGCATTAGTTGAATATAAGCAAAATATTGAAGATTGAGAGTTTAAATTAATGTAGTGTTTATATTATATTAAAACCATAAATATTTTATTTGAAAGGAAGATAAACTTCTCTTTATCAGTAGATTCTTTCACCAGTCTTAAATATCTACATACAGTTTTCAATGCATACACGTGTATATTTATCTCACCTAAACTTTTATATAAAATCCTACTCCGGAACCTTTGGCAGACCCTCCATTGAAAAAATGGAAATTTAACATTTTCACATACTAATTTAAAGTCATTCATTTAATAAACACTATTCTCTGTACAGTAACTACCATAAAAACATTCAAATAAATGTATCTCTTACACATTTCATGCATCTTTAACTATTCAACAAAAGCAAACACTTTTCCATACAAGTACACAGCAACTTTACCCACCAGTTCCAGTTTCCACACTTTTGTTAACAATTCATGGAGAGAGAGAGAGAAAAAAAAACTGCATCTTTCTAGTCTTAAGTTGAATACAATTAATTAAAACTTAAAAATTGTTTGACAAACTAGAGTGAAAGTTGACACCAGGAACAAGCAATATGGTCAGTTACTCATAAGAGTAAAATTCAGGCTAACAACAACAACAAAAAACATACTGCAAACATAAATGGTTGACACTTTCATACAGAACAGAGCATGGATGTGGAAACATCTCAAAATCCCATGCCCTTGTCTGTAAAATCAGAAATCATAGTAGCATCAACACATTAAGATTATTTAATTCTGCTTGGATGTCTGACCTACAACCCACTGTCAAAACACATTGCTTAAAAATGCTATAAAACCTCACAAATACTGTGGTTTCCTTTCTCACTAGTCTTAATAATCTTTACTCTTTTAAAGTGTTTTTACACACAGCAGAAACAATTTCGCAATAAAGCGCAAAGTACCTGTCGGAAACAATGACTATCAGACATGTGAATCATCATCCTAGTCCAATATAAAGTAACTCAGAAAAAATGATTATCAGACACATTTGAATCATTGTCCTAATCCAAAGTAAAGTACATTTCAGAAACAATGGCTATCTGATATTTGAATCAGCATCATACTCCAAAACAGGTCTTTTGAATAGGAGCTGAAAGTAATCTTCAAAAAATGTTCAACGAAGAAAAAGATACACAAGCTCTGCAACACCTAGCATATTAACTTACAAATTTTGAATGATAAAAATATATCATTCAAATCATGCAAAATGAGATTTTTTACTACCTACTGCTGAAAAAATATTCCAGCAGTTGAAATTCAGAGTTCACTAAGCACAAGATCAAAAAGTCTAGTGCTAGACCTCAACCTTAAGTTTTGAAGGCAATAGTAAATGATTGCTTGTTATTTCAACCCACTGGTAGATTTGAGCTGTTACTGACAACATCATGCTTCTTTTTAATGCAACTGTATCAGAATAATGTTACGTATTACATGTTTATTAATGTGTATATCCTTTTTATATGTTAATATTTCATTTAGTTCTATATGTCTATATTACTTGACCTGAACTGGTACATATCTGCTATAACCCACTTAAGTTTCTTTGAATATGGTTCTCCTGCTTTTATTAGAACTAGTTTATCCAATTATTTTGCTTTTCTTTAGGTTTAGTGTTTGATAGTGAGATTTACAAGCTGAGACTACTGCTTGGTCAGTATCATCATAATCTGTAAAACATCAATAGAAACTAATTAATAATAATAAAGGAACTGTAATAACAGAAATAGTAAGCCTAACAAAAACAATTTCTAGTTCAAGTAACAGGTTTGAGTAGCAATACTGTTGTATTTTGTGGTCATAATGAAGTCCAATTAGTAAAGCTTAATATTTTCATGTTTTATTTACATTATTTTAAGTACCTTACTCATCTGTATTAAACATTATTTTCACATAACATTCCCTGGTTATCAAGTTTTTAACAAAAGCATTGTATTTCATTATTTACAGCTCAACTGAAACAGTTTTTATCTTAGTTATTTCACAAAAGTTAAGTTTCTTGATTTGGGCTTAAGTTGTATCTAGGTAGTCTACAGTACCTCACTGCTATGGGAAAAACAACAACAAAATCTGCAGTGATTTGTTTTTTGTATCCTCCAATGGACAGCCGCTTTGGTACAGTATTTCTAACCATGCTGCCAGCAAAACTGAATGGCAGAGGTAAGATGTTAAGAATATACTAACTAGCTGGACTATGTGTACTAGTTGTCCTGGAAACCAATCACACAAGTTCAAGATGGAGTCTTGTTGTACCCATTTCCCAATACCTAGCCTGGGTATGCCATGCAACTCAAGTAGGAATTGCAAAATTAGCATAGTAGCCTACTCTACTCAGAATCTTGCAATACAAATGACAGAAATGGATGTATAATAGGTAATAAAAGTAAAATCTTAACATTCCTTCTGAAAGGTCTGCTAGCAATTTTTTTTTACAGTGTCTTCTAAGTTTTTCTGAAACAGCAATAACAACTAGGAATTTGCTAACATTAATATTTTGAGCCTCAACTGCTTATGGAAGTAAACAAGACAGTAAACATTAGGAGTTGTTTTTTTTTCTAAGTTAAACTTACAGTCATAACCATGCAGTAATTTTCTTTGATGGCACCACAGCAGCCCATGAAGGAGAGAATAAAGATGATAACACCAACAACAATAAGCAGTATTGGTGCTGATGTATATTTGTCCCCCAAGAAGTCCACATATTCAGCAGCTTTAGCTTGGACCCATGCTCCAACAGCAATAAGGGCTGCTCCAGTTACCTACAATACATAGAGACAATCAACAATTCTTTTTCAGTCTAGTTATTCAGAACATCTTTAGCTGTGGTATAGAACTAATATTAACAGATCTAGTTAATTATATCTTAAGAACATGAGTAAGAAAAGTGGGGTACTGTGCTTTATTTGCACAAAATGGAAAAAAATATTAAGCCATCTATTCAAAATATAAAATTCAAATTGAGTTTCAATGCAAATGTGATGAAATAAAGACAAACCATATTTTTTAAACATTCACAAAGGTGCATTACTACTTACCTTCACAAATATGTTGAATTACTCATTCTTTCAACAATTAAAATACGCTTTTTTACTAATTTACCATAAATGAACAATTTCTAAAACTAAACATTTTTTTAAAACTAAACTTCTAGATGTCTAATTTGGTGGTATATAGTATATGGCAAATTTGTATCAAAAATACAATGCTAACAGCCATTTTACGCATGTCCTGCCATCTGCTGATAACATCTGTAATTAAGTTTAATTAAAATAATAAACTATACTTAGCCTGTACAAAACAAGCCACATGTGTTAATAAACCTTGAACAATATTAACAGGATATATTCTGCCATACTCTTAATTTTTCGAAGACATTCACTTGACTAACGGTAAGTCATGCAACAAAAACATTAATATTTTAGTTAATTTTGGGGTAAATTTGCGACTATCTTAACGATACAAGTAACACTACAGACAAATGCTTAAAAAAAAAATTAACCATCGAATACAGTTTCAAATATGTGAGAAATCAGTCACTAAGCGCAAAATAAAGGGTGGGGAAATAGTGACTATACAGTCATTTTATTCAGAACGTGATTTAATTTCTAACGTCTTATTCTAAAACAATAATAAAAATTGTTTTCAACTGTGTTCGTAATATTTTCTTTAGTACCAACAGGATAGTAATTTTCGCCCCCACCCTGTACAAGAGAGTAAACACTTTGGCAGAATTGTGACGAAATATACACAGAAGTAAATGACGCATTTCACGCCAATGATTTCGCTTCTTAAAATGAATCACGTGATACCTACTAACAATTCTCATTATGTATAATTTCCTCAGTTGCAACTAGGAAAATACATTATGACTAACTGCGAAATCAAGCAATAAGTTCCATTACAAAGCCTACTTTTCAACTGTGTTAACAAAACATGTATTTACAAATAGTTACAAGTTATTAATGCCCCAAATCAACAACAAATTGACCTACATCTGAAACATTTCAAAAGGTATTGTGTCGTACATAAATGTTCTCTAATTTTCCTTGCAAATCCCGAGGTAAATAACAAAGTGTAGCTACGAAAATGCAGATTCGAGACTTTTTGTTGTCGTTTTTACGCCCATAACATTTCCTAGTCCAGTCCTCATGGTAAGAATTTAGGGTTCCATTACGAAACTTAACTCTCCAAATACGTATTTATGTGTAGTTTCAAGTTATTAATGCCCCAAGTTAACGTCCAAGTGACCTATATCTGAAACAATTCAAAAAGTATGTCATATCGGACATTTACAAGGAAAATCAAACGTAAATAAGAAAGTGTCCCTACTAGATCGTAGTTTCGGAATTTTTTTTTTTACGCCTATGACAAATCCCAATCCTCCTATTAAGAATTTAGGTTTAATTTCAAAATTTACCAGGAATGCTCAGAAACACTGGTTTCTCATCATCACACACATAATTATGTGATTAGGATGTCTTCGCGAGAGATGGACGATATATATTAAAACTGAGTTTAATCGGTCGTGGGGGGGGATGACGGAATGACTTCCAATAGTTGGTAGTTTTGATATAATTGTGAGGGCAAAAAATCTATAAAAGACAAGAGAATGAAATATGTGAAATCGCTTGTCGATGATTTTCTTGGTGTGTGTTTCTATCGTGCACACAGGAAAAATTCCCTTTGACGTAATAACATTATACATAGTGGTGTGATAATCTCCGTCATCAATCTCACCCCGCAACGCCCACGCGTAAGGGGCATTCTCTACCAAAGATGATTAGGTAATCTTGACCACGCCCCAAAAGTTTCCAGAAAATGTTCCACCTGAACTAACATACTTCTATAGTGAACTGGTACAAGTTTTAACTGTTTGTTCGAAGTTAAGCACAAAGCTACACAATGGGCCATCTGTGATATGCCCACTACGGGTATCGAAACCCGGTTTCTAGCGTTGTAAGTCCGTAGACATACCGTTGTTTTAACAAAAGACCAACACAAGATGTAGAAGAATAGGAATGATAAACATACATAAACGTACAACGTTTTCTTCTGAATGTATATAATTTGTAGAACCTCTCATAAAACTATGATCCGAGTGTTCTGGGAAGTAATAAATCTTGGTATGCCCACATCGTTGTAGAAAAGGGGGGGGGGGTATAATCGTAATATAATATGTGCAGCGGGCCTATCAAGCGTCAAGTTTAAAATACATTACACTCCACATCGCCTAAGTTATTAAAACAGTGTGGCTAGAAATATAACAGGCATAAACATACTAACAAAACAAAGATTCTTCGTTCGAGTTAATGAATACAGCTACGTTTAATTTTGTTTATGCAATTCTGATAGTTTAAGAAACAACTTTGAGCTTTATATTTGATGAAGAACATAGCTGAAAGTAGGCCGAGTTCTGAAATTATTCTAACACTCGTACATGCTGGGTAGGGCACCATGTACAACCAGTTTCTTATTAGTCATACGTTACGTAATACTTGAAGGTAGGTTTTCTGCCAAAGGACAAGCAGTGTCGACTGGTCTAATCATGATGAACCGCGTAAATAAACTTCTGGAAACACGTCACAAGGATGCATAACGAGCCGAGTAAAGCGAATCCATAAGTTACTGACAGATACTGGTATTCATATACATGAAAGAATAACTTTAGGAAACTTATACGGTGTCTTGTACCAGCTAGTAATCAACAGCTGAGCTGCTTACTCAACCAAACCCTAGACGACGTAGCAATCACCTACATGAAAACGCTTAATAATCAATGAAACCAATGTGTTCCTCTAAATAACAAATGTTAGATAGTCTTCTGTGTTTGAAAGTAACTTTTAAGCGTCGTGTTCTCAGAACGTTTGAAATCTCTCAAGATCAAACACCACAGTGATGGATTATTTGTTTGTAATTGGTGTTGAAACAATAGTATACTGAGTTCTAAATTTGAAAAGTGTGTATGTGCATATATAGTGAATGAGGTAAGTTTATTATTACTTTAGCCTTGTATTTTAAACCTGACTTCCTTTATGTAATGTTGATTATACGTGTATTTATCTAGCTAAGCTTTTTGATTATGAATGCAAATCTTACAATGTGTATATTTGTTTTACTTAAATAAATTATCTTGTTTCCTGTGAGTTCAAACCAGTGTTTGTCGTGTAGAAAATGCTTTTTGATACTTTTGTTTTCAGTCTAGTATTTTAGCCCTTCGATACGTGAGAGTAAGGTAGTGATTTATTGAAACTCAAATACTTCTTTACAAATTCTCCAGTTTCTTTGTATCCAGCGGTCACATATAAGCACCAAGTTCCTCTAGTTTCGTGGTCTAATTTACAAAGTGGCAAAATCGTCCAAAAGAAACATTATTCTGCACAATTCTACTGATCTTATGTTCATTATTTCATAATGTCAAATAACCCTCGAACCCCCAATCATCACGAAATGTTGATTAATCTGTCTGCATACTGCTGAAGAGAAGTTGAGGTGTAATTTAGCTATCACCGAATTATTTCACTGAGAAACAACGTGTAAAAACTTTCTATTAAAAAATAAAAAAGTAAATAACACTTAACCAACTTAACCCAATTCACACCGTAAAGTTATTGTCAAGCCATTCGCTAATATAAATAGTATGTCAACAACACGCTATGTCAATAGTATCCCAGATATAGGGTGAAAGGCCTTGTCGGCACTAGATATAGCAAATATAGTGTGGTTATATTATTAATACACTTTACTAACATTCAGAATTTCTTTAAAAATAAAATAAGCAAAATATTACAATAGTTTTAGAAATAAACTCAAGACATTAATATTTTACAAGTTTGGAAAAAAACTATTGAATATTCCTAACAGTGTTTATACTCTGCAAGAGTAAAGCAAAATCGAAGATCGGCAAAATTTTCATACAAACCTAAAGGCTTAAAAAAAATGAGAATTTTGACAATATGTACGACAACTATTAAACTACAAAATGCATTCTGGTTTCTAAAATATTACAATTGCCAATCACTTGGTAAAGGAAAATGTTTTATTATGATTGGAGACAGAAGAAACAAAATGCTAGAATAAGACAAATTTAAGTAAATACTTTCAGCCAAAATCAACACAACCTATGGAAAAATAATAAAAGAACACAATATCGTGTATAGCAATTAGTGAAAAAAACACAGTAGACTGAACAAACTGCCAGAAGTCTGATATCAGAGAAACTAGTTTCGAAGACAACGTGAAACTGAAAAGGTCGCGCGAATGTGTCGAAACTAATTTAATATCACACTGACAGTTTGTTCCGTTTACTGTGGTTTTTTCACTAACAACCTATAGAATTAATTTTTTTAAGTAACAAATAATCGACTTTGGCAAACACGATTTATCAAAAATACATAAAACAAATGCGAGCTCCAACTCCAGAGTTTTCCCCACTAATTTGAACTCTTATTTGACAAGAGGCCACCCGTGTTCGTTTATAACTGGTAAGCCGCTGGACCGATTGTCACGAAACCTTGGCACACACATTTAGAGATTTTATGTCTTTCCCACGTATTGAAATGGTACATTGGATAGTATTTTCTTATTTAGATTCACTATTATAAATCGAAATATATTTCAACCTTTTCGATACCAGGGACCAAAATCGCTGCCTTCCTCAATTGTCGCGAACCGCTAAAATGATAGAGAAAAAAACAAAAAACGATTTACATATGAATGAATATTCTGTCAGTTTTTGTTTGTTTTCGTGAAATCCCAAGGG